CAATCTATCATATGACCCTGCTGACTTATTCATAGGTACTTGTAAGAGCTACAAGCTAGGCTCCAAGTACAGCTCTCAAACTACAAAAGAACAAACAAAACAAAACAACACCCTTTGAAGGGACACTAGTAGATCCGGGCATAACAAATATGGCTCTGGCAGGCCTTGCTATTCCCTCTTCCTTGATAAAAATCGTTAGATTACATTCCTAAAGCTAGCCTTTATTTGGCCACTTCCTCCTCCTGAGGCTGACTACCAAGGTCCGGCTATCCAAGTATTGAAGTCCAGCAAAAGCCTCCTGTGGCTACCCTGATTAACCTGTCCAAATAAAATTAAACACCCCATCCTAACAGGAGGCTTCCTCTTTCACCTTTATAAACTGTCATTTGTCGTTTCTTCCCTATCCATGGCATCCCTCGCCCTTCTCCCGGTCCTCTAGCTCCTGTCTTTGTCCCTTTTCCCATGCCTTTTGTCCCAATGGGGCAAATCAATCTTCTTTGTGCTGAGAACTTGGTCTAGGGCTGTCTTGTGCCAATGCCGGTCCTTTCGCCCTGCACACAGTTTCTGTGCAAGGTGAGGGGAACGCTAAGGGACTGAAGGCCAAGCTCCCGAAGTCGGGTGTGGAGGAGGGCCTAGCTCTAGGGGAGATGAAGGACAAGCTCGGGGGTCGGGGTGGGGTCCCCAGGGACGGTGCTTACGGTCCTCAGGTTCCGCTTCTTCAGTCTGCGGGCCTGCGTGCTCTTCACGAAGGCTCTGGTCACCGCCCTGACCGCCAGCCGGTAGCAGCGGTTCTTCCTTCCCCTAAAATGCTGGACGACAAAAAAAGAAGGGTGTCCGGATGGTAGCGCACCGCCTTGCCCGCGCCCCCGGGGATCCCGGCACGCGCACTCACCCGAGCATGCTTCAGCACCTCCTGGACCCGCCAGAACCGGTCTGTGAGGCGGTTCCGCAGCCACAGCCGCGTTGTAAGGAACACCATTCTGGGCTCCCGCGACCCGAGCGGCTGCCATAAGCATTTCCGGGTCAACGGGCAGAGAGGCCGGCCCGGCCGGGTGTGCGCGCTTACAGTCTTCCGGGACGCCTCTAGGCTCGCTCCCCGAGTTCCGTTGTGCGTGACGGTCCGCAAGCAGGGGGAGCAGCAGAACGGGCCTGATACATGGAGCTGATGTCATGGCCTGGAAGGACCTAGGCGGTGGGGCTGAGGAGGACGGGAAGGGCAGCTGTGGATGGAAATCAGATTTCCAGAAACGAAAGAACCTTCGGTGGCCTGCTCTTGTGTGGGCTTCAGTTAGTTGTCCCTAAATGAGTGACAGAAATCAAATCAAGGCAGCTTCATTCTAAAAGCAGCTAATCTAGTTTTGTTTATTTGTTTGATTTTTTTGGCTTTTTTTTTTCGAGGCAGGATTTCTCTGTGTAACAGTTTGTCCTGGAGCTCGCTTTGGAGACCACGCTCACCTCGAACTGTCGGAGCTCCGTCTGCCTCGGCCTCCCGAGTGCTGGGGTTAATTTAAAGGCCTGCGCCACCACACCCCGGTATGGCAGCTCGTCTGAGTCGCAGGCCCAGATGAGCAAAGGTATCTACTGTTCTGGAGAAGATGTGCCTACGGGATGAAAGCTAACCCCTGTGGGTATAGAAACGCCACGTTCCAGGAAGTGGAGGGCTCCCAGACCCGGGTGTCATAGGGGAAAAAAACCATGCTATAGGGAGATGAAGGCCAAGCAGCTCTGACTGACTTGGAAGTTGGCTACCATCTTTTGTTCTTTTAGTTCTGGATTCTCTGACCTCTTGGAACTTTTCAGAAACTTACTTGAACATGCACCTGATCCCATCAACCAATCAAAATTCCACATACATATTCAAATTAAGGCAGCTCATTTTCGAGACACCCCCACACTGCTACTGGGACCGGCTTCTCTATTTCGGAATAAACGTTGCTTGCCTGCCCTTCGACAGTCCTCGCTTCTCGTTCTTTTCAGTTGTGAGACAGGATCAGTGTGACTCAAAAAACTGACAACTAGCTGCATATGGTGTCCCAAGCACTAGAGATGCAGAAGCAGAAAAACCAGCCCTCAAAAAAACTAAAACAAACAACAAAAGTAAACAAAAAAAATTAATGTATTTTTGTTGGGGGGGAGGCATATGGAAGTCAGTGGGAGAAAACAATCTCAAGTGTTGCAGAAAGGCACACACAAACAAAGAGAAAGTAATTTGGTAAGATTTTTTTTTTTTCAAAAGAAGAAAATCTAGAGTTCAGAAAGACCCAGAGTTGAATGAGGAACTTGTTAAGGTCAGGGAACAAGAACAAAGCAGCCCAATTATTATTAGCTGACCTTTTTTGTTAGGGCTGGTTAATGATCAAAGGTAGTGATTAATTACTTACCCATTCCTGCCCTCAATCTCCTAGTGAAAGAAGCTATTGTTGAGTGGATATGCACCCTAAAGATTTAAAGTAGAGTTTAGTGATTCTTTTTCATATATAAAAGTTTAGATTTGTGATTCCTTTAAGATTCCTAATAAGATTACCTTTCAAGATAAATAAGAAAGTAATTGGCCCTTTCTTTGTAACCATAAAACACAGTCTGTTAGCAATAGAATATCTGGCTTGCTTGCACACTGTTAATCTATAACAAGTTGCTTGGGTATGAATATACATGGGTCCTTGGGATAATTTGCTTTTCACCTGTAATATGTAAAATGTTTAATCATGTAAGGGATACAGAAAACATTCTGTTTTTTTTTTTCCTCCTTGTATTCATTGTAATCATTCATTTGGAAAACAGAATGTAACCACATTGTAATTTTTATACTTGCCTGAAAGATTTTGCTAAGAGAGAGAATAGAGAGAGAGAGTTAAAATGAGTTAGAAGGAAAACATCAAGAATGAGAGAGGAAATCACCAGGGATATGAAGACCAGAAGAACACAGAAGAATCAACAAGGAAACCATCCGTACAGAGTGAGTGTCTTTTTCCCCTACCCCTCAGATAGAAAAGTCTAATGTGCTGACTCTGGATTCCCTTTGAGCCTTGCCCTGCTGGAAGCTGGTCCCCCAGGCAACACGTCATTCCGTCCACATTTAGTTGGCCTTCTACTTAAAGAAGAGTTTTCTGAGCTGAACTCAGTGGTTTACACCTGCGGCTCTAGTGCTCAGGAGTCCAAGACAGGAGGTTTGTAATGGTTTCTGCCAGCCTGGACCATCAAATAAAACCCTGTCTGAAAACAGTGAAAACTAAAACAACAGACAAAAAACGTTCGTAAGTGTTGTACTAAATGCCTTTATCCCCAGCACTTGGGAGGCAGATGCAGCCGGATCTCTGTGAATTAAGGGTCAGCCTGATCCCAGGAGAGCCAGAGAGACCCTGTCTCAAAAAAAAAAAAAAAAGTGTGCCTCACCACATCCAGCTTATTGAAACTTTTCTCATGACAGAACAAAGAAAGCCACAAATCAAAACACTTTCTAAAAAAATCACTGGTGGAAATACCAGAAAGGTGTTTACAGCAGATGGGCAAAGCTCTCCCATAAGCCCCATGGAGCATACATCCATAAACTGGACTGTGTGTTCCAAAACTACGAGCCAAACGTCTCTTCTTTCAAGCATCTTATCACAGAGATGAGGAAAGAAACTAGTATGAAGGACAAATACAAACAGAACATCCCCCGCATACAGTGCAGGTAAGGGGAGCCCCGTGGCCCACAGACCAAAGAGAAACCATGAGGTTTTAATGAAATCTGTTGCCAACTCAACCCTTAGTGGAGGAGGCTGGAGCTGAGAAGCTATACTCTTGAGGATAGAGATCAGTGTCTTCTTTCTCCAACAATTCTCATGTTTAGCCAAGCAGTGGTGGCGCACGCCTTTAATCCCAGCACTCGGGAGGCAGAGGCAGGCGGATCTCTGTGAGTTCAAGGCCAGCATGGCTTACAAGAGCTAGTTCCAGGACAGGTGGCCTCTACCTAGAAGGAGGATTCAGGATTTTTCTTGTCCTGTTTTGCCCAAAAAGTCTCGGCCTCACCCAAGGAAGCTCAGGGACAGTGGGGCTGTGACTCTGTGACTCCTAGTGAAGCAGCAGGTTAGTGCCACCAACAACCACCATGAATTTACTCCAGACATGCAGAGAATCATAAGGAAAAAAAGACCCACCCCTTTAATGATGATTTCTGCTAACACACACAGAGACACCATCCTTGAGCAGAAATTCTTTGCAGCTTATGTAGATTTTGATTGATAACATTTCACAGATACTGTGATCTGTAAATCCTGCTTAGGTTCCAGCACGAAGGTATACTTTGAGCATGTTTTACATGAACCAGAAACTGCAAGTGTGACCATTTGAACAAATAAGAGATTTACATGGCAAAATGTTGACCAATGTTGTTCTTTTTTATGTTCTTAACAAGGGATATCTTTTTGTTTTGCTTTTCGAGACCAGATTTCTCTGTAGCTTTGGTGCCTGTCCTAGAACTAGCTCTTGTAGACCAGGCTGGCCCCAAACTCACAGAGCTCTGCCTGCCTCTGCCTCCCAAGTGCTGGGATTAAAGGAGTGTACCACCACCTCCCGGCTAACCAAGGATATCTTATTTGCCTGGAAGAATTACAATCCTTTTGATATGGGAATATAACCTAATGGGTAGCAGTTTTTATTGTTATTATTTTGGTTTGGTTTTTGTTTTTCTAGACAGGGTTTCTCTGTGCAACAGCCCTGGTTGTCTTAGAACTTGATCTGTAGGCCAGGCTGGTTTTGAACTCACAGAGACCCACCTGCCTCTGCCTCCCAAGTGCTGGGATTAAAGGTGTGCGCCACTATCGCCCAGTTGTGAACAAATCTCAACCAAAAGATATCCTCCATAACCCTAAACTCTTAATTTTGTTAGAAGTACAGCTCTAATTTCTCATCTTTCTGTAGGTTTTTTTTTTTGCTTGTTTTTTTTTTTTTTTTTTTTTTTTTTTTTTTTTTTTTTTTTTTTTTTTTTTTTTTTT